CGCCATTATTCTATGGCTAGAAATTGGCCTCAATGATTTGGGATCGAGGGGGATTATCCCTCTTTATCCTGCCTCATCTCGTGTAGGCCTGGACAGCCTTCGTAGGTGGGCCCCATCCGTCGTCTACCCCGACCGCAAATGCGGCCGGTGTAGGCGCTTTGTGGGACCTCCTTTTGTCCTGGCTGGGCCCCGCCGGCTAGGGCCCTGATATTACACTAAAAATAAATTAACATTCAAATAAGATTTATTACAAAACTATGAACTTATTATTAGTTATTTTTCACAATATATATGCTAGGCAATATCCAAAACTAGGATTAGTTCATGGCAAACGATATTTATTTAGTCCAAATAAATCCTTTTTTCAGTGAATGGAATCAAAATTGCCTTAGGAATCGGGTTGCTTTTATATTTAGATACTACTTTTTCTTATACTCGCGGCACACACCGGTATTCGCAATCCTGCTCTCGTCCGGCTGCCGCAGCCTGCGATGTGACATGGCGGCGGCGGCGGCGGCGTGTGTGTTGACAAGACCGAGTCCCCGGGTCAGCCCGGAAGACACGTTCCGGGGATTACGCTGGCAACAGAACCCCGCGCCGTGTCAACAGTCCCTCCGGAACTGTTTGTCCATCGCGCCAATCAATTTTTAACGGACTCTCCGCGATACACCGATAGTGAGTAGCGTCCTATACCATCTCAACCCTTTGTAATGTTAACAGTTAGGCTGGGTATCTCGTTTAATAGTCGCGACGGCAATATTTTAACATTCTTTAACAAAAATGTACAAGTTTTGCTACAAAAACCAGAAAATACGCTAATAAAAATTGGGAAAAAAAACACAGGATTTTTACATAATATGTACATACCTATACAGGGTGTCTCACATTTAAATAGCAGGACTTCAGGAATCAGTAGAAGACCTCATTTTGAGTCTAAAAGTTCCTATATATATGGGACCTAAAACGCTTCGTTTCTGAGATACAGGGCGTTCAATTTTATTTTTGTTTTATTTATTTATTTTTTAACTAAATAACCGCTGACAAAAAAAATCATCATGTTGCGGCGAAAGACTTAGTATTTGAGGGCAAATAATTTGACACAGAAAATCATCGCATATTAGTTCCAGTGGTGGAGATAGAGGGGTCTCTATGCATATTTTTATAAAAAAAAGTATAGCCGATTTGATATTTTGCAAATGTTTTCGAAAAATATGAAAGAGCATTCAATTTTACCCAGAAAAGGCCCTCTTGTCCAAAGTCGATAGGAGGTGGCGTTTTCAAGAAAAACCGAAAATACTGTTTAGAAGTCAAATAATAATTTTTAAACATTGTGTTACAACTAAATTAAATATGTAGTTCAAAAATTCGGTTAAAATTGTTTTTAATTAATTAAATGAAAATAAATACAAAAATAAATAACGAAAACCATATTACATCAAAGCAAATGTTCGAAATGTAAACCATTTTCTTCGATACATAACTGACACCGACGCTGAATAGAACGTCTCATTTGAATTAAGTTATTGTCTCTGATTTCACTGCATGCGTTCCGAATCCGACGAATAAGTTCATCCCTTGTGTCCACAGTAGTGGTATAAACTCTCTCTTTAATAAAACCCCAGAGGAAAAAATCTAGGGGTGTCAGATCAGGGGATCGGGGAGGCCATGCAACGATACCCCCGCGGCCAATCCATTTTTCGGGAAAGTGGGTGTTCAACCAGTTCCTGACATTTCGGCCAAAATGAGCTGGACAGCCATCAAGTTGAAACCATGCTCGCATTCTTAAATTCAGAGGAATTTCCTCCCACATGTTGGCACTCTCGGTCTCTAAGAACTCTAAGAAATTCGCAGAATTCAGTCGTTGAGGTAAGATGTAAGGGCCGAAAAGACAATTGTTATAAACGCCGAGCCAAATATTAACACTAAATTCGTGCTGAAAATTTCGTGGTCTGATTGCATGCGGGTTTTCATGTGCCCACTCATGCTGATTGTGTAAATTTGTCACACCTCGACGAGTAAAACATGACTCGTCGGTCCATAATATGTGTGATAAAAAATTTCCGTCGTTTTCAATTGAGTTAAGAATCCACCGAGAAAAAGCTATTCTATGTTCCTCGTCACCCGGACGTAAACCCTGAACAGGTTGTAAGTGGTAGGGATGTCTATGATCTCGTCTTAATGTTCTAGAAATAGTGCACCTGGAAACACCAATAATCCTGGAAATTTTTCTGGTACTCGTCGTGGGATCTCTGTCAAATTCGTGCAAGATTCGCTGATTCCTCCTATTTCTGCCAATATTAACGTTAATTATGTTGCGATCCCTATGGACCAGATTCAATCCGTCATTAGCGAAACGTTGATGAACATTAATAAAAACGTGTGGATGCGGCTGTCTTCTATTAGGAAATCGTCTCCGATATTCCCTAGCAGCTTCTGCCGAGTTCCCATTGGCAAACCCGTATATGAAGTGAATATCTGCGTATTCTTGGTTCGTAAACTTAAACGGCATTTTGAATTTGTTGCAATTTTTTTTAATACTCTACACACAATTAGAAACTATAATAAAATAAGCGCAAATGTCAATATTAGAATGACATTTCAAGTCTGATTTGATTTCTAAACAGTATTTTCGGTTTTTCTTAATTTGACTTCTAAACAGTATTTTCGGTTTTTCTTGAAAACGCCACCTCCTATCGACTTTGGACAAGAGGGCCTTTTCTGGGTAAAATTGAATGCTCTTTCATATTTTTCGAAAACATTTGCAAAATATCAAATCGGCTATACTTTTTTTTATAAAAATATGCATAGAGACCCCTCTATCTCCACCACTGGAACTAATATGCGATGATTTTCTGTGTCAAATTATTTGCCCTCAAATACTAAGTCTTTCGCCGCAACATGATGATTTTTTTTGTCAGCGGTTATTTAGTTAAAAAATAAATAAATAAAACAAAAATAAAATTGAACGCCCTGTATCTCAGAAACAAAGCGTTTTAGGACCCATATATATAGGAACTTTTAGACTCAAAATGAGGTCTTCTACTGATTCCTGAAGTCCTGCTATTTAAATGTGAGACACCCTGTATATAGGAACTTTTAGACTCAAAATGAGGTCTTCTACTGATTCCTGAAGTCCTGCTATTTAAATGTGAGACACCCTGTATATGGTTTTTGTACACAAAAAAATGTAAATGAATTGAACATACGCACGATACATTGTCTAGAATTACACGTTTGAGTGTACATATATTATTATCTTCTCGCAATGTATTGTTCTTTTTTACGTTGTAATTTTTTGAAGAATGTTTTTCCTTATCTACTTAATTACTTATTTCAAAATAAAAATCTATTTTACGGAAGAAAATACATACTTATTGTTTATTTAATTAGTTCTTACAATTAAAGAAATCTTAGAGTAATGCAAAGTTTATACAGTTTTCGGGAGTGAAAATTTTAATTTTTACTGCACTGTGGCGTCAAAACAACCATGATCTAGTGTAATTTTACATAAAACTGTTATTAGTGTAGAAACGGAACGATAACGAAGCAAAATAGTGGTAACCGTCTCCTGCTGAAAGGTTATTTAGGCTACAGGCGACATTAGTAGAAAAATGAACAGATACGAAAAGGCAGAAAAACACGAGATATCTACCACAGTGAAAGCGTCAGCAGGTAGGCATCAGACAGGCAGGGCCCGAGGGACTCGAGGCAGGCAACTGAGATTTTTGTGATTTTTAGCGAACCCAATTACCGATGCGCCGGTTTTTCTTGCTCGGGGGGCTCGCCTGTTTTCATAAGGTGTGCCAGACGCGCTTCCACTGCCCTCGATCTCCCTACCGCCCGTCGTTCAGTTCATTTTTTCTCTTTATCACCGTGTTTTCTGCCTCTATAACGATACAGTAATAATTACTTTCGGAAAATATTAGGTCAGTATGCGTGCCGCGCGATTCATTTTTTCAGTTCCACCGAAATCAGTTTGTTGCGGCTCCTAAGCAACCTGCTGTGCGTCATTGCCATGGAGACTTGTTGACATTCCCATCGATTATTTTTGACAAACAGAAAATATTCATCATCAGTTAAAGTGCCGTGAATAGTAGGTGGTAAATAGGTTTTAACGACAATGGAAGCGAAATCTCCAAAACCGTCGGAAACGGCTTCAGAAAGAAAGAGCCCGGAAAAAAGCTCGCTAGCTCCTGATCACCCGCTCCTTCAGCGGTTCCAGAAAGCCCTGAAAGAGCACCTGCTAACCCAGATAAGTCGTTTAGAGGGCGAAATATTCGAAAGCGAATCCGAAGCTAAGAAAAAGAATGCAGAGAGGGAACAGCTAGGCGTTCAGACCTACGAAGCTCAGCAGCTGGTTTGCTCACAGCACAAAGTCCTCGAGAACATCGTCGCAGACTTGCAGACCGTTACTGCGGCGAAGGAGGAAATGGAGGCGGCCCTAGAAGAGGAGAAACAAAAACAGAAGGGGCTTAGAGAAAAGATATATCTAACGGAGAAAAGTAACAGAGAGCTGCAGAACGAAATCGAATCAATAAATTACCTGATACACCAGATGTCTCAGTGGGAAAACAAAATAGAATCAAATATAAGCGTGAACCAGCGCATCGCCGAAAAGACGAGGAAAGACAACTTACTGCTAGCGCAAGAAAAGCGAGCTCAAGACTTGTTGATTTACAACCTGATGAGGGAGATTTGGAGACTAGAAGGCGAGATCGAAGCGATGGAAATTCAGACCAAAGTTCAAAGTTCGGAAATAGAAGAACAAGAAGAGGCAATCGCGGTCGGCAACACGAACGTGGAAGCTCTCCAGGCAGAATACAGGTGCCTCATGCACTCCTGGAACTCCGTGGTCGTCGCGATTTCCAACAGAAGCAAAACCATAGATTGCCTGAACGAGGAGGTGAACAGGATGCAGGAGAACCTAAAGAGCATCACAGCGGAAACCGAACAGGTGAAGAAGCTGACGAAGAAGGAGCTAATAGAGAACGAACGGAGGACAGTGCTGAAAAATAGGATAGAACAGGATATAAAATATTGCAAAGCCCAAACAGACGAGGAAATGAAAAAGAGAAACGCCATCGAAAGAAACATGTTGGAGTTGCAAGCCATATCAGAGCAGACGGAGAAGGACATCGAAAGTGTCAGGAACGAGATCCAGCACAGACAAACTTATTTAGACGTCATCACGAAAGACTACGACAAAATCGTATCGAAGAAGACCGGTTTGGAAGAGAAATTGCTGAAGAACCTACAGAACCAACTGGCCAACGATAAGGCGGCCGTCAGCCTGTATAGAATGTTGCGCGCCATCAAAGACAAAACAAAGGACGTGGAAGTTATCATGAACGAGGCGGAGAATAAACGCAGCCGCCTGATCGCGAACATCGAGTCGCAGAAGTACAACAATTACCAAACCAGGGGGATGCTGCAGGATCTCCAAAAACAGCAGGCGGATCTGGAGAAGGAGACCGACGCTCTGCAGGAGGAGAAAGCCAAGTACGACCTGCTGTTCAGGAAGAGAGAGAGACAGTATGACTATTTAAATAGCAAAATAGAAAAGGCCACGATCAAGGACCATCCCACGATCTCCCCTCAGGAGGTACGGCTGACACAATTGGAGAAACAGATCGAGGAGACCCAAGAATCCATAAAAAAACTGCAGCTGTTCTGGTTGAGGGAACAAAAAAATCTACTAGTGGTGTCCAAAGACCGCCAGGAACAGATCTACAACATAAACATGCTAAAGAAGCAATCTCTCATCCTCGAACAGAAGAATTTACGAATACGCGACGAGATCGAGGCGTACAAGAAAGCGGCAGAGAAGGTGCTGCACAACATCAACAGTCTCCAGAATAGGAGCACCGTCCTTTCGGAAGTATTATTCAAGAAGCGCCACCAGAAGACCAACCTGGACAGGAATAACGTGCTGCTGCAGTCCGAGTACGACACCAAACTGAGAGACGCCGACCTGGCCTGTTTGGAGATCGAAGCCGATGTGACCGACATCGAAGAGGACAGGGTCAATCTGAGCAAGAATCTCGTCGAGGTGAACAGGGAGGTGCTGGAGTGGGAAAAGAAGTTGCAGCTGGTCAAGGAGACGTTGAGCAACGTGAAGGAGGAGAGAAGCGAGAGCGGTGAGGTGGGGAACATGAGGCAGGAGATACACAAGATGCAAGTCATCTACGGCCAGTTGAGGAGGGCACAGGAAAAGTTGGTCAAAGACCTGGATCACTGCGTCGGCAGGAGGGAATCCATCTATATGGTGTCGGAGGCTAGGCAGAAGAAAACTCAGGTACACTCATAATATAAAAATTTTTATCTAAAATTTCATTAACCATGTAATTTTACACTTTTTGCGTAATTCACCCAAACCGTAAATTTGCATTATCGATAAGTACGTATAGTCTACAGTACAGGCCCCCCCTGGAAAGTTGATTACCACATACTTTATAACTCCTGAGGGGCTTCGTTTTGACGAGTCTACCACATTTTTCCTCCACGACTTTTCTCGATTCCTCCGCTTTTCCACTCGGAAAAGTCCAAAAACATGGCAATTTCCCGGGGTCTTGAAAAGTCAAGACCACATCTTTTATCTTTAACTTAAGTAACTGGAAATTTTGTTGCAAATGCCGATTAAAATTTGTCCGACAGAAATTCCTCCGACATTGACGTGTCTACCGGTCGAAACATGCCAAAACAACAGGGTATTGAAAATCAATTACCACATAGGTAATTTTTAGTAAAATTAATTGTAAATAATTAATTCAGACAAAAAGTATTGTTGTCCGACAAATTTCAAGCCGCGTTTTTTCAGTCCGACAGCTGGAAATCGGAATTTTCACGGGGTATGAAAAATCGATTACCACATATCTAATTTTCATTTTTTCCACTTTTAAATTTACTGTACAAAATAGTGATATAAGTGTCCGACGATTTAATGTCCGCAAATTATTAAAAAATCAATAAATCAATAAACGTGATGAAATTTAATTTTTTCACTCCAAAAATTTCATATTTATAAATGGTTATTAATTATTATTATGTAAATTATTATTTGTTTCAAATAAATAATTATAATATTGCTTATTTTATGCTTAAAAATTTAAAAGTTATAAACAAATGAAGTTATTTTTGAGGCGATTAATACGATCTTAGTGCATAATGCATTATTTCTAAATAAATTAATATTATACTTGATATAAAAATCCTTTTTTCTCTTTCAAGTTTTCATTCGCGTTCGTTATTTTTCTTTACAAAAATTTTCCTATTTTTCTAAAAGAAAATCCCAAAACTTTTGTGCATAATTTTTTTACACCATACATACTTTTTTGAAATCGTTTAATTCTTTTCTCGATATTTATTTGGCTAAATTGAGCATATAGAGATTTACAATTACAAGAATAAAACGAAAAATATATACAGGGTGTTTAAGAAAGACCTCCCTTAAATAAAGAGGGTGATATTATGATAAAAAATGAGAATTTTTTGTCTTATGAACTCCATGTCTATCTCCTCTTGTTTTCGAGATACAGAGAGACAAAATAAAATTTTTTAAATAATATTTTTATGAAAATTTCCAAATAGTGCCAAATATTTTTATGAAATTTGGTAGCCCGAGGTTTTTAAGGTTGCAAAATACGCCAGTCTAATTATTTTTTGTATATTTCATAGAAAGCGCTAGTTATGCTACATTCTTATTACAATTTAAGTTATATTTTTTTTTAAGGTTAGGTTTTTTACCAGTCGGGCTCTAATTTCTATTGTACAATTTTATTTTCTAAAAATAATGTACTCTTGTTAGAACTTCCTAATGTGGACGATTTTCAAGAAAAAAGGCTTTTAATTACACTCTTACAATATTGCACTATAAAATAAGTGACTTTTTTCAAAGTAAGCTTGAGGAGATAGACATATAGTTCATGTGACAAAAAATTCTTATTATTTGTCGTCCTCACTCCCTGTATTTACGGGAAGTCTTTCTGAAACACCCTGTATTGTATATTTATATGGAATTTTGCTTAATACATGAAAATACTTTATTAGAAATTATAAATACATGTGCACAATTTTTAACGAAATTTTTTTCATCTTTTTTTGTCGGACTGATGATTTGCGGATATATTTTTGTCGGACATTACAATTTTTGCTTATAAAAAACACTTTTCTATCGTGTGTTATTTTTGTCCGACATGTGGTAATCGATTTTTCATACCCCGTGAAAATTCCGATTTCCAGCTGTCGGACTGAAAAAACGCGGCTTGAAATTTGTCGGACAACAATACTTTTCGACTGAATTAATTATTTACAATTAATTTTACTAAAAATTACCTATGTGGTAATTGATTTTCAATACCCTGTTATTTTGGCATGTTTCGACCGGTAGACACGTCAATGTCGGACATATTGAAATCGGCATTTGCAACAAAATTTCCAGTTACTTCAGCTAAAAATAAAAGATGTGGTCTTGAGTTTTCAAGACCCCGGGAAATTGCCATGTTTTTGGACTTTTCCGAGTGGAAAAGCGGAGGAATCGAGAAAAGTCGTAGAGGAAAAATGAGGTAGACTCGTCAAAAGGATGCCCCTCAGGAGTTATAAAGTATGTGGTAATCAACTTTCCAGGGGGGGCCTGTACTATGGACTAATATATGTATATTTACAACACCTAAAGCGTAATTTTACACTAAGAAACAGCAAAACTAAAAATTATTTGTATGAAGAAAAAGAAAATCTATTATTTTGTAATATACTTACCTACTTATTTTTTTACATACCTAACTTATCTAAATATTTTTCCAAGACAGGTTACGACGCACTTAAGTAAAGAGAAAATAACATTAAATTAGAGTAAAATATAAATTTCTGAATTCTTTCTTATATTAAATTTTACACACTTTTCTTAGTGACGTATTCATCCTTCAGTGTTTAAATGTAAAAATGAGCTACTAAATACGTTTTCATATTCAGAAAACCCTAATATACCTAATGGTTGAATTGATCGTCTTTAACTACCTAAATAAATAATTTGACCTACTCATCTAAGATAAATGTATCATTTACATTTTTCGTGTATAAAAACCATTACAAATATGTAAAAATCCCTATGTGAATTTCCCCAATTTTTATCAGCATGAAAAAAAAACATGGTGTCTTTCGAAAAAAAATAAAATTTTGATATTAAACAAACGTATTTAACTTTATACAAATATTTTTGTTTATTTTAACTTGAGCCATTACTATGCGAAAGAATACGCATCATTTTTTTGATGATCTATTCTAATAACCAACCGTTGTTGAAGGGAGCCGCTGAAAGGACGAGAGTAAATTACTCAAGAAAAATGGACAACGTAAAAAATAAAATAAAGCAAATGGAAAGCGAAACGGAATCGCTCAAATTGAAATGCAGGGCTATCGAGGAGCAGAAGGAAAACTTATTGCAAGGTCTGGAAAGCACCGAGAGAAACATCAAGATGTATGAAAATTATTCCAGTAACCTTAGTCGCGACGTGGAAATCTCCAAAACCAGCAGACAGATGAACTTCGAACTTCTACTCGTCAATCAGAAAAAGGTGAGTCTCTATCACGACATATCGGTGGGGAGGCAGCCGTTCCTCATGTACAAAACGGAGGACCAACTTGCTACCGAATATACTAAACAGAAGGATCTATCCAATAAGTTGGGTAAAATTGTTGAAAACTTAACCGTGGACTTCCCCAATTACAAGCAGGAATTTGATCGTGTATATAACAGTCTGAGGGTAAGCGCTCTCTTGATGTATTAAATCTGTCTGTTTTTTTTTTATACAAATAAATCGTAGTGTACGTATTACAATTAGTAGTCAATTATCGATATTTACATTAAAAGGTACATTAAAAAGTTATAAACACCACTGAATCACTAATAGATAAAAACATAACGTCAACAAAATTAATTTAAAAAAAATGTAAGATCACAAGATTTTTTTGTTGTCTGGTTTTATTTTTGCTAACGCAGATTATTAAATCTATACACTTTATATGATTCACGTTTCAGTAACACAACTGTAACTAGGTATCAGTAGAATATCTCATTCTAAGAATAAAAACTCATGTCGTTTTTTTTTTCGTTTTATTACTTGCTACATATTTTTCTAAACTTTTTCCAATCGAATCTTCTATTGTTAGTCGATTTGTATGCTAATTAGCATACTTCGTATACTGTGTACTCTATATTCGTCTTTGCACTCGGTAACAAAAAAAAAAAAGAAATTTTTCAGATACGAAGCGTTCTACGACCCAAAAAGTTTATGTAAGCGATTTTTTTATAGTTGTAAATATATTCTATAGTATACGGCTTACGATTTCCGTTCCGTAAGTCTCTGATCGTAATATGTATTTACATGACCCCTTAATTGACGCTAAACAGAGGCCCAGTAAATACCAAAGTGGTGATCTTCTAGGAAGGAGCAGTCACCGAAATTCGCATCGCGCGAATATTTCCATTATCCCATCAAAAGGGCCACAGAGATGAAAAAGTAACCCCGTTACGAGCCGGGTAATTACCCCGCGTCCCAGCACCTCCCGGATACATTTAGCCCTCTCGGCAGAGAGCACTCAGCCCATTTAAATAATGACGTCGTCTTCGTCGACGCTGTAGTCGTCGTGAGTGTCACTCGCGTTTTCACGGGGTGGCTAATGGAACCGCCGCCGCGGCTGTCACCGCGTCTGAGTGGATCGCTTCCTCACGTCCATTGTCTGCCGCCTCCGAGGTATTACTTAACGCTTAGACGCCGTGTCTTACTCCCACGCCCGGTGACAAATGAACACCTAGCTTCTCAATAGGTACGGAGACGGCGTTACGAGTCTCTCGTACATCTTCATTTCGAGGTGTAGGGACGGGAGGAGGGTTCAATTAGATCGAATGACGCATGGGTATTAATTTTTCTGTTCTGCTCCACGCCAACGGTATTACGCTTGTCGTTTTAGAACGATGGTTCCGATGATAGTTTCCGTTAACAAAGTTTCAGAGGCGGGATGCATTTGACAATAACAAATCCACAAATGTATAGATATTTGTTCATTTTATTACTTGTGTTTCAAATTTAGTTTAGAAAACAATAAACAAATTAATGTAGGTATCTACTGTTTCTTATTCCAGAATAAAATGAGCGTAATAACATGACAATAATATTTTTTTTAATTGTTAGACATTTTAACCTATACATTACATAACAGACGAAAGATAATTTTGAACATAACTTATTAACATGATCACTCCAATCCAGAAATTGATTTACCTACAGAGTGACCCATTTGAAAGCGGGCCACCCTCATAACATTTTTATTTATGGAGCGATTTTGACGAATTTTTTTTTGAAATGTAAAGGGGGGAAAAGTGTATTTTGGGGACAAGCGCCGTCCAGTTCTTTTTTAAACTAAGGCCTACTAGATCACATTCAGAGGCTGAAAAATCCAGAATCCATATTAGCGATTTTTTTAGAAAAAATCTGCGTACGCCACTGGATTCGGCGTCCCCTGAAATGGATCTGTACCAAATTTCATGAAAAAATATTCAACATTAACGATTCTGCGGCTAAATTTCTGTCAAATTGTTTATTATGCATAAAGAAACTTTTTATCTAGTAACCCATGCGATAATAAATCAATCACAACAAATATTTAATAACACGTTTAATAGACATCATTATACCAAAATACAATGAAACAGACAGAAAAATGAACGAGAAATTAACATAAAATTTACAAAAAATACAATAAAATAAAATTAACACACATGAATTAAATTAAATTCTGGAATTTTCAACTAAATCTTCATTTAATTGAATG